ATATCACCCTTCTAAGTGTGATATCTAAGTGTGCATCATTATGTTCTGGTGTGGTTGGAAGTCTAGGCTCCCGACTAGGCCTATGCTGGCATGGCTGGAAGTGGCGTGTGTGTGTGTGTGTGTGTGTGTGTGTGTGTGTGTGTGTGTGTATGTGTGTGTGTGTGTGTGTGTGTGTGTATGTGTGTGTGTTGGGCTGGCTGGAGCTGCCCCTCTTCCTGCCCTTTGCTAGGGAGAGGTGGCTTTTGTTGAGGACTTTATTTAATTTTGTCTGCACCAGCATTTCCAGCACCAACACTGGGATACAAGAAGCAAAAAGAAAATGCAGAATGCTCGTTGCTCCTGTCGCTTGCTGTTGTTGACTTACTGCTGCTGCTTATGTTTGTTTTATACATTCTACTCCATCTGTCCAGAAGCCAAAGTGTTATGTATAGTGGAAGGCTTGAGGGATTTTTGTTTTGTTTTAGACGTACATTGTTACATTACTATTTGCTGGAAAAACTATTCTGTTTCCATTGAGTTGTCGGGGGTGTGGGGGGAGGCGTTGGCCACAGAGCAGGAAAAGCTGTGCTTAGACTTGCCAGCATCTGTAGCCTGGGTTGAGGAGCAGGAGAAAGATGGGCTTCTCTAATTCCGTAAAGAGTTACAGTCTCAGAAACTCACAGGGGCAGCTCGGCAGCTCACCCCCCCTCTAGGGTCACTGGCATCGAGTTTGGGTTTTTGGTTTTCAATATCCCAATCACTGGCTTTCTTTTTTAAAATCATTTTATTGGGGGCTCGTACAGCTCTTATCACAATCCATACCTACATTGTGTCAAGCACATTTGTACATATGTTGCCATCATCATTTTCTAAAACATTTGCTTTCTACTTGAGCCCTTGGTATCAGCTCATCTCCCGCTGCTCTCCTCTTCCCTCCCTCATGAACCCTTGATAATTTATTAAATTTTGTTTCATGCCTTACATCCTCTTTTCTGTTGTCTGTCCCCCAGGGAGGGGGTTATATGTAAATCATTGTGATTGGTTTCCCCTTTCTCCCCCAACCTTCTCCATACCCTCCTGGTATTGCTGCTCTCATTGGTCCTGAGGGTTTATCTGTCCTGGATTCCCTGTGTTTGGGGCTCTTACCTATACCCATCACTGTCTTTCATGATCACCATTTTGTCTTTCTTTCTGCTTTTTAACTTCTGTTCTGATTTGTGTTTTCTTTTTCTTTATTTATTTAATATTCTTTTTGTAATTGGTTAGCTGGATATTCAGCTTATGAGAGTTGGACCTTTTTACTTTGCTAGTATAAGTGTTTAATGCTTTAAGAATTACTTTAATTGCCTCTTACAAGTTTTGTAACATGTTTTTATATTTTAATTCTACATATTTTATCAGTTTTGTTATGGTTTCTTCTTTGATCCATTGCTTACTTAGACATGTTTTAAACCCCCAAATATCAGAGGTTTCACTAATTTCTTTTTGGCTTATTTACTTAGCTTTAAAATTAATTGATTAGCTTATTTATTTGTTTTCTACTGGTTGAATAATGCCTTCTGTGTTGCATCATTCTTTGAATATTGGATTATCAATTTGGGCTCCCTTCCTTCTTTCACCTCCTTGTGGTCAAAGAACATCCTCTCCAGTTCTTCACCATGGGTGAAGTTCGATGGGGTGATTTCTCAGGCTGCCTCACAAACCTGACATGCCACTGCTTGTGGAAGGTAACTTCGCTGCGCGGAGGCTCCCTGCGCATCACTTCTGTCAGCACATTGAGGGTACTTCCCTGTCTTCTGCCTGCTGTTGTTTCTCCTGAGAAGCAGTCATCAGTCTAATTGTTGTTCCTTTGTGTGCAATCTGTCTCCTGTGAAGGCTTCTTACGTAAAAGCCCACTTCATCTGGGAAATCGAAGCTTTGAAGCAGTGGAGAGACAAGCGCCACGTACCCCTGCTTTTGTCACTCGCCACCAGTAATTATCGACATTGTGCCAGTCTTGTTTCACTTATGCGTCTCGTTTTTGTTCGGCTGTATTATTTTACTCATCAGTATGCCAGTAAGCAGTTCTTAGCCGTCAAGGTTGTTACATCGCCAGTGATATCAATTCGCTGTCCACTGAGTTGGCTCTGATTCACGTTTAGCAAGGAGACATTGCCCAGTGCTGTGCCTCCTCCAGTCATTGCTGGGTGTCTGTCCGTCTCGCTGAGCCTTTCTCTCTCTTCTTCTGCTGACCCATTACTGCAGCAGGCATGTGCTTCACCAGCATGGCCCTCCTCCCAACATGTCCAAAGCAAACAAGACCAGCTCTGCCCCACTGCCTCGAAGGAGCTTCTGTCTTCTTCTCAGAACACGTTTGTTCTGCCATCCGCCAACATCACAGCCTGCATCCGTTTTCCTCTGGTCTTCAGCTGTCCATTCTGCTCACGTAACTGGCGAATGAAAATACCCTGACAGCTGTCCATTCTGCTCACGTAACTGGCGAATGAAAATACCCTGACTTGGGTCGGGAGCACCTGAGCCCTCAGGTGGATGTCTTAGCTTTTTAACACCTTCAAGAAGTTCTTTGTAGCAGATTGACCCCATCAAAAGGGGCTTGGTTTCTAGACTGCTGCTTCCATGAGTGTTGACTGTGGATCCGAGTAAAATAAATCTTTTAATGCTAAAACGGCCCATCTTTGAGCTTTGCGAGCCCCGCAAAGTTGGCTCTCCTGCTCCTGCATGCCAGTAACAGCTTGGTTTTCATCGAGGTGGCAGGCTTGTTTTGTACTTGTCCTGCCCAGGCCTGGAATTCGCCATTTTCCCAATAAGATCTGTGTGCTGGATGCTGCCTGCATTCTCCAGGACACTTGTGATTTATTTCTACTTATAGACACATCAGAGGACTGGGTGTGTGGTGGCAGCCCCTCCTTCTGCTCTGTGTGGTGAGCCGTAGGTATCAAGAGCCTCCCTCCGATGGCTTCTCTGCTTGTCTTTGGTCCTTGTTTGCAGATACTGCAGACTGAACTTCTGCTCACCCGGTTTCGAATCTGGTTTTCTTCTTTGAAGGTTGTGTGTGTGTTGGGTGCTTCAGAGATGATAGAAGCTCTGGATGGTCTTGCCTTCCTTGAGCAATCGAGAACGACCTTGATGCCGTCCGGGTTTGGTTTGAGTTGTCACTGTGCCCGGTGCCATCAAGTAGAGGGGCTTAGAGCGTCCTTATTTTGTCTTTGCCCTTGGGTGTGTGGGCTGCCCTTGATCCCTGGGTGTATGTGCCTCCAACCTGCTTCCCAGCCCCCACGCTCATGGGGCTTCACAGGTCTTCATAGCCACCCACCTGGGCCCTTCTGTCCCCGCCATTCTTGTTTGCCTGCATTTCCACGTACACTATCGAATGGGCCGACCAGTTAGATCAGCGGGGATGCTGACCAGGCTTACCTGAAGCTAAAGATCCATTTGGAGGGACCTGCCTTCTTTAGAATGTCGAGTCATCTAATTGCGCGTCCATGGTTTTATTCCTCCATTTTTTATAGGTCTTCAATGTCTTGAAAGATGGTTTCGCAGTTTCCCAGAACGAGGTCATGCACATCTCTCTAGGATTTATTCCAAGATATTTGATGTTTTCTGATTCTGTTTTAAATGGAATGTTTTATTTTTTCATTCTTCATTGGTATGTAGAGAAATATAGTTGATTTTTGTGGGTGGCCTTGTATGTAACCAACAGTCTTGCGAAATTAACTTAGAGGCTTGAACAGTCTGTTTATATCATGTCATCTCCAAATAATGGCAGTTTTATTTTTCCCTTGCCAACCTTGTACTATGGGCTGGGCTTCTAACCATGGCAAGGCCAGCCATCCAAACCCACCACCTGTTCCATGGGAGAAGGAAAGGCATTCTGCCCCTGGGAAGACTTACGTCCTCCAATCCCACAGAGGCAGCCCTGCTCTATCTTTTTGAGTAGCTGTGAGTTGACATCACCCCGAGGGGGTGAGTTGAGTGGCGTTACCCCATTTCCTTGGCCAGGCTCTGCAGCGGACTGGACGTGGTGGTGGCCGCCATGGTTCTCTGGTTCCCAGCGTCTGGGGAATAGTCAATGGCGCATTGTTAGAGGCCATGTGCTGCTGTCTTTGCAAACGTCCTGCTCAGGTCAAAGGTCTGGTCTCCTAGTCCGTTCAGAACTGTCCTTAGCATGAATGGGCGCTGCAATATATGGCATGCTTTTTCTGAATCTCTCAAGTTGATCATATGGTTTTCTCCAGGGCTCTTGATAATTGGTTGAAATACACTGATTTTTAAGTGTTCCCCAGGAACACGTGGGCTGTGGTGCACCGCTTGGTCCAGTCTGTTGGGTCTTCTTTCGGAGGCGGCAGTGGGAGGGCTAGTGTGCCAACGTGCTGCACTGCCAGCCTGCGCATCCCTGAACTTGGGTTCCCAGAAAGGTCTCTGGAACCTCTCTCCCCCGGACTGTGACATGAGAGACCAGATGGGGGCAAAGGTTATGCCAGGACAACAAAGTCTGCCTCAAAGGGAATAAGGAACACAGGCATTTTAACTCCTAGAGTTCTGGTTTGTGTATTAGGCAGAGCCTAAGGGGACCCAGGGTGCTGACATGCTCAAGGACAGGCTTGGGAAGGTGCTGCCAGAAGGTGGGGCCCCAGGCAGATAACAGACTCTGCTGTCTCCTAGCCTGGCAGGGTGGCCCCTTCTCAGGGGGTCACAACCAGGCCAAGCTGACTGTGTGCAGCCTCTGTGTCCCTTCCCTGATGCCCAAGGTTCCTTCAGGGGCAGGGAGCTCCCACGAGGGGCAATTGATGGGCTGGTCTTTGCAGGAGCAAGAGCGCCCCCCTACCCCCTGCACTCTGGTATGATGCGCTCATTCTTCTTGCCAGTGGTGAGGCGGGTCGGGCAGGGTCTCCAACCTCAGTGCCAGTTTCGACCTGCCTGTGACAATGCCTGAAGGCCCCACTGTGTTGTCAGACTCCACAGCAGGAAGAGCATTCACACAGTGCCCACAGCCCTAACGTGGCCCCATGTCCTCCTTGAAGGTGGAAACGTGGACTCGGAGAGCCCGGCCGAGGGGAAGAAGGAAGCGGATGCTAACGGTGCTGCGAGGGGCGGCCCCAGACCGATGGTCCCATACAGCTCCATGTTCTGCCTGAGCCCCGCCAACCTGTGAGTCCCTGCCAGCCGCCTGGCCCTGCTCCACCTCACTCTCCCGAGGTGCAGTACTGAACACCAGTCAGATTCGCACCTGTGTGGCACTCTCTGCTCACCTCAGACACGCTCACCCGCTAGTCATCATGGCAGCACCCCTGAGGGGCTCATCACACCTCATTTCACTTGTTCAGTGCTGGTAGGGAGTGCTTCTGAATGCTGTGTGCTTAGCCTGCTTCCCCTCCCCACCATGGGACACATCCCTGCCCAAGGTACTCCCATTCCCCCTGCACACAACCCCACCCATACCCACCTGCAACCAGGTCCCACCACACCCACTTACAACTCCGTCCATACCACCCTGCACATGACCTCACCCATACCACCTGCACACAGCCCGCACCCACGTCTCTAGATGTGCACACATGCCTGTCTGCCCCCTATATCTGTTCACCCTTGGCTCACACGTGCACTTGTCACGGATCCATCGCCACCTCCCATCCCAGGCACTGGCATGAATACAACAAATATTCGTGTGCCAGAAAGCATCCCAGGGCCTTGCTAAGGTGCATGCTTGTGAGCGAGGCAGGCCACCCCCCAGACAAGGTTGTGAGGCCCCGATCTGACCTCTGGGGCTCAGATGATAATCCTTCTGCCCCCAGGCTCCGCCGCTGCTGCCATTATGTTGTGACCCTGCGGTACTTCGAGATGGTCATCCTTGTGGTCATTGCCCTGAGCAGCATCGCCCTGGCTGCCGAGGACCCTGTGCACACAGACTCCCCCAGGAACAACGTGAGTAGTCTGCCCAGGGCGGGGTCTCCGGGGTGCCAGGGCTTCCTGATGAGTAAGTACTCCTTTCTCTGGCTGGACAGTCCTAGGACACCTGGCCAATACTGATAGGAAGTTCAAGGTGACTCAGGAGTCAGAGCCAGATAAGAAGGGCTCTGGTCAGAGGGACCTTACCCTGAGCCCTCTCTCCCTCCCTCCTCCAGCACTCATAGTGGGTGTTCTGGCTCAGAGCCTGTCGGCCGCTGAGAACTGCCTTCTTGTGTGGTCCTAGGTCCTGAAGTACATGGACTACCTCTTCACTGGAGTCTTCACCTTCGAGATGGTGATCAAGGTGAGCTATGAGACTCCCTCAGGGCCCAGCGTCCCCTCACCCCTCAAAATCAAGTGGGGACAAGGGTGGACAGCGGTTCTGATCTTCTGTTTTGAGAACACGTGTTGGTTGCATCGAGGCCCCCAGGGGTGCAATTCAGGCCACGTCTCCCCCACAAGATGGCGTTGACCCCGTGTCTCCTCTTTCCCAGACAGTTGATCCGTCATGTCCCCTCCCCCCGAGAGGACGTGATCCCTCAGACCTCTCCCCACTAGACAGTGTGACCCACCATGTCCCCTTCTCATGGCCTCTCCCCTCCAGACAGTGTGACTCCTCATGTCCCTTCCCCCTGAGGGTGTGGCCAGCACACCCTCTTTGATGAGATGTGTACCCCTTCCCTGCTACCCTGCACCCTAAAGAAGCGGTTCTCAACTTGTGGGTCACAGGCCCTTTGGGGGTCGAATGACCCTTTCACAGGGGTCGTCCGATTCATAACAGTAGCAAAATGACAGTTATGAAATAGCAATGAAAATAGTGTAATGGTTGGGGGTCAGCACAGCATGAGGAGCTGTGTTAAAGGGTTGTGGCATTAGGAAGGTTGAGAACCGCTGCCCTAAAGCATGTTTCATCCCAAAGATGGTTGACCTGGGATTGCTGTTGCACCCTGGGGCCTACTTCCGGGACCTGTGGAACATCCTGGACTTCATTGTGGTCAGTGGCGCCCTGGTGGCATTTGCCTTCTCGTAAGTACTTGTGTCGGTTGTGGGCACTCCATGAGGCTGCAACTCCCAGAGCTCTGCAGTGTGGGTTTAGGGAGGGAGTGGGGCCCGTCTGCCTCCCTGCCCAGGTGGGATTCACCCTCCACTTGGGGCTTTCAGGGAAGCCCCCACTGTAGCCGCACACCCCCCCCCCGCCCCAGGCCTCTCTGAGTTCCTTGGGGCCACTCAGGGCTCTCTCCATCACTCAGGGGTTCAGAGTACAGGGCGACCAGCTCTGGTTGGCTGGCAGAGCATGCTCCCCATGGTGTCTGGCCAAATGCTTCTGGCTGGGCCAGGGCCATGGCCTGAGAAGGGCCACCCCTGTAGAGATGAGTGGCATCAACTGGTGGGGTCCTTCAGGACCCCTTAACCTGACTCTGGTGGGTTGGCCCAGGTGACCTCCAGCCTTTTCTGCCCTAGTGGTCAGCCAGAGCACCTGGGCAGCCCCTCCTGGCAGGGCTCAGACTATGCCTCTATTGTCCACTGGGCTGGAGCCTGGGTCTGGCTCCCTTAGACAGAGGCAAGGTCCAAGGGCACAGGTGGGCCAGGGCTGGCCACCCTGGAGGCCAAGGGAGATGCAGGAGTAGGGAAGACCCCGAGGTGACAGGCACTGAGGAGGTGGGGGGCCTTCTCTTCTCTGGTGAGAGGGGTGTCCCTTCTACTGCTCAGGATGAGGGCCGGTGCTCCCTAGACAGAGGCCCCTCTTGGCGAAGGCTGTCCCCTCTGGCATCACTGACCTGTGTTCTCTTTGTCTTCCTGTTGCTGGACTCTCGGTAGGAGCTTCATGGGGTAATGCCTCCCCCACCCCTCACACTGCCCCCAACATCGTAGTCACTCTGACCACCGACCTCATGCCCCTCCCCCCATCCACATCACCTTCACTGACTGCATGCTGCCTGCCTGGGACAGGGCCAGGCTGGGGCTGGCTGGGCCTAAGGGACATGTGACCCCATGAGCAGGGCAACCAAGCAAGTGCTGGGGGGCGGGGGGTGGGGTGGGGACAAGGGGTATGGGTGGGAGTGGCCAGTCTGAGGAACTCGGAGGAGGACAACCACTCGGAGTCTCCAGGGGGCACTGGGAGAGTGGCCTCTCAAGGGTGGCCTTGAGTGAGTGCACCCCACGCCCCTGAGCCCGCTTCCCCTTGGCTCTGCAGCGCTGGGTCAAGGCCTCCTGTCGGGTTTGCTTTGCACCTGAGCTGGAGCCATGAGTGTGGACTCCTGTACGTCTCAGGAGACCTCCACTGTATACCCCTGGTGGATACAGAGACCCTGGGCTAGCTCTCGTCCCCCCATGGCCAGTTCTCAGGTGCTATTCAGGCTAGTTCCTGGGCCTTTGACTCTGAGAAGCACTGCTCTGAGTGGTGAGGAGCACTACTCTGAATGAGGAGGCACACTGCCCTGAGAAAGGAATGCTATCCTGAGTGAGGAGGAGCACTGATCTTAGTGAAGAGGAACATTACCCTGAATGAGGAGGAGCATTACCCTCAGTGAGGAGCACTGCCCTGAGTGGCTGCTGAGCCTGGCCTTGCACATGTTCCATGCCAGACGTGTTCTGACTTCCTGTTTCACCACTCTTTCCTGTCTGCACCCTTCAGGGTTGTCTTGAGTCTGTCTGTCCAGTGTTTTATTTTCTTTGTCTGCCCATCCCCTGGTCACCTCTGCCAAGATCTAACATTGTCTCTTCCTCTTTCCCTCCCTGCAGCGCTCTGGGCCTCCTCTCCCCCTCATCCCTCTGTCTGGGTTTCATCAGCCGAGGGAGCCTTAGGCAGGCAGGGAGAGCCACAGGGGTGGGGTCTTACTATCCCAAGAGGCAAGAAGGATACAATGCCACAGTGCCCTTGGCCTGGTCTGTGTGCCTGCCCATCTTTGTCTGCCCTTTGGAGGCTGGCTCAGCAACAGCTCTAGGAAGCTGGCTTCGCTGTGTGTCCTGGAACCTTCTGAAGCTGCAAACAGTGGCTATGCTCAGGGCCAGGCGCTTCCCACGTGGGTATTAGGCACCTGCTGACCCTGGCCCTGGTGCCTGCCCACCTGACATGGACACTGGCTAGCCTGGTGGGGGCATGGCTGAACCCTGCCCCTGGGTCCTCTTGATCCCAAGACAGAATGCATGTGGGGGCCATGTGCACCCCAAGGGTCCTGCCTGTCTGCATCTGTGGCTTCTCCTTCTAGAGGATCCAAAGGGAAAGACATCAACACCATCAAGTCCCTGCGAGTCCTGCGTGTCCTGAGACCCCTGAAGACCATCAAAAGACTGCCAAAGCTCAAGGTTGGAGCTGTGGGGTGGGCTAGTGTATGCACATACAGCCTGCTTGTGTGTCCATGCACGTTGTGTGCACTTGTGTATGTGTGATGCTGCATGCATGTAGACACCTATACGCCTGGCCTCTCCCACTGCGCCTTTCCACATGGGTGGGATGAGTACGGGAAGCCCCTGATTTATCTTCTCAGCTCATGCGCCTGTGGGGCGGGGTGGGCTTGTACACAGCAGCCTTACCCAGGGCTCCTCTTCCTTAGCCCAGGACCTCCAAGTGGCTGAGGGTTGGTGGAGCACGGCTGAGGTTCTGAAGAAAGGAAAGAGTGGGCACCTACATTCCCTGTGCTAAGCACCGCCAATGGCGGCCTGCCCTGGCTGAGGGGACGGGACTGTGCTGTCCCATGGAGAGCCCCTGTAGCTTCATGCCACAGGCCAGCCTGGTTCGCAATGCAGAGGCTGTGGGCACACACACAAGCAATTTGCTTCGAGTCAGAGTGAAGGGCAGGTGGACCGGACTGTGCGGCGGCACGGAAGGTGGGCTTGGCTGTGCGTGCTAAGGCAGTGGATGGGGGCTGGGACCGTGGCAGTTTTGGGAAGAGCGGGCACTCAGCAAGGGCTGTGGCTCAGCTGTGCCAGCCAGAAGCACAGATCAGGGCACTGAAAGATGCATGTTTGTGGCTGTGTCCAAAGAGGTGCCAGGAGGATGGGCCCACCTTAGAGGCCCAGTTGGTAATGGCAGCAGATGACGATCACCTCAGGGCCACAAACAAACGCTCCCTGCCCCAGACTGGCACCCAGCACTGCCGCAGCTGTCCCGGGCCACCCTGGCTAGCTGAGTAAGTGGGTGCTGCCCACTGCTCTTCCAGGCGCCTCTGCTCTCTCAGCCTCACTAGGACCCCTGTGAATCAGCGGTTCCTGAGGGTCTCTGCAATCGCAATCTCCCACTCCTGCTGTGGCAGGAGCAGGGGCAGATCCCCTCTGACCCACAGGCCCTCAGGCGCTTGGGGGTCTCCTCAGGGGCGGGCGATCTGAGCATTGGTGCCCTGCCCCCCAGGCCGTGTTTGACTGTGTGGTGAACTCCCTGAAGAACGTGCTCAACATCCTGGTGGTGTACATGCTCTTCATGTTCATCTTCGCTGTGATCGCCGTGCAGCTCTTCAAGGGGAAGTTCTTCTACTGCACCGATGAGTCCAAGGAGCTGGAGCGGGACTGCAGGTAAACTCAGGCAGGCCACTCGGCTTCAGAGGGAGGCTCAGCCACAGCCAGCGTGGGGACCTGCTGCCAGGGTTTACAGGTTGCACCCCTGTGTCCCCAGCACTCCTCACCACTGGTCTGCCAACTGCCAGCTGTTGAGTACTTGGGCACCTATCTGGAGGGGCCACTGGCTCCCAGACCTCAGGTGCCCAGTGTCAGTGGACAAGGCCTGTATCCCTTTTGTACTCTCACAGCATTGCTCACGCATACATAGCCCTTCTGGCTGCTGCTGTTGGGGCTGCCGGGGAGATCAAGGCGGGACCCTGTGGTCTGATTTGCGCCATTGGGGACCACCAAGGCCGGGGCAGGTACCTTATCCAAGTGGATAGGCCAGTGGAGGTCCTTTAGTGGGAGTGCATTCAGCTCTCTCCCTGCTTTCCTGAGTGGGCTGTCTGGCTCTTTCTGGTGGGTTTCTGGGCACCTTTTGCCTGATCTAAGGATGACAGTCTTTTTCCCATCCTGGGCAGTGCATTTTACTCTCTTCATGGTGTCTTACTTGGTTTTAATATAGCTCAGTTTGTTCTTTCTCTTGCAAAGGGTCAGTGCTTTTCTGTGTCCTGTTTTACAAATCGAGTCTACAGTCAGGGAGCTGTTCTCTTGTTTTCTTTCTGAAAGTTTGCATTTTGCCTTTCACTTTCAGAGATGGCGTTGGTGTGCGGTATGAGGTGGAGTTAAAGATAAATCCTCTCCAAATGGATTTCCACTTGACCCATTTGAAAAGACACCCCCGCCCTCACCCCACCCCAGCACCTTCCCAGTAAGGTCCTTGGTTTATTATTTATTTACCAGTGTTACTGAGGTATGATTAGCATGCCAAACAATCTGTTCGTTTAAAACATAGAGTCCGTGGCTTGTGGTGTAGTCTCATTCCCCAGCACCGCAATCCATTGTTGATCATGTTCTTCATTGGCTCAAAAGGACCCTTTAGTTACCACTCCCCTAGTCATACACTCTCCGAGCTGTAAGCAGCCATGAACCTGCTTTTTTGTCTCTACAGACCTGCCTGTTCTGGATGTTTCATATAAAAGGAATTATGTAATGTGTATGAAACTGGTTTCTTTCACTTGACAGTGCCTTTTGGCTACTATTAGTAATGCTGCTGTGAACATCCAAGTTTTTGTTTTTGTGTGGATGTGTTTTTACTGCATAGGGGACTTCCAAAAAGGTCATGGAAAATTCCATTATCTTTTCACTCATTTTCCTTTGAAGCTCGTGAAGCCCCCTTGTAGCCTGGGGATGCGATTCCTGGGCCCTGTGCTCACTGATTGCACAGTGGCTGCACCAGTATGCACTCCCCCAACAAGGTGCGCAGGCCCCTGTCTTCCCCATCTTCACTGACCCTCCAGTTACCTGGAGTCTGGGAGGTCCCGTCTTCCTGATGACCACAGACAGTGGAGTCTTGGCTCAGGTTTTAATGGAGTTCTTTGGGTTTTCAAATTTTACTGGTTGTAATGTGCCTCATCATATTCTGATGTCTTCATCCTGCTCCAACAGAACGACCTCCAGTGGATGGCTTTCACAGAAATGTATTCTCTCACAGCTTCCACTTCAAACTCACTGCCTCATTGTGACGCCGGTGAATTTCCAAGACTGCAACTGTTTGCAGGAATAGAAGGTCCACTCTTTCTCCTAAGGAGCTGCTGGTGGCTTTGAACTGCTAACAATGCAGATCTCAGCGTAGTTCCTAACCACTACACCACCAGGGATCCTTTGTTAGGGGCGGTTAGAAATCAAATATAGAGTGCTTGCTCTAGGGACGAGTCCTCTTTGTTGACTTTGTAGAAGGTTCTTGTCTGCTTGCAGCCTTTCTTGGAGATCTCCATGTGTGTCCCAGCATCAATGTTCCCCTGAGTTTCGGAGTTTCTCAGTCCAAGGATGCATTCTACTCCTGGGTCTCCTTTCTTGCCATAAGAAGGTCCCTGGACCTGATCACTTCTCTTTCCTTTCATCTCTTGTAAAACAAAAGATGTTGCTGTCGATGTAAGGGGGAAATTCCCCTTACAGCAGATGAAGGCTGTGACAGGGTGAAGGGGATTGCATCCCACCCTTAGTCTTCCTATTGTTTTATAACATCGAATCACATCACGGGGGAATCAGTACATAACTGTCAAACCACTGAGCATAAAGGCCCAACCACTTGAACACATGTTTTGAAGGGATGCGATTCAATCCATGACACTTGGAATTAAATCCTTTTCAGACAGATGATCGATTTGCAAATATATTCTCCCATTCTTGGATTTGTTTGTTCATTTTCTTAACAGAGTTATATGACGCACAAAAGTTTCACATTTTGGCTAATGCTAATATATCTGCGTTTCTCTATTGTTGATTGTGTTTTTGATGTGGTATCTAAGAATCTATTAGCAAATCCAAGGCAACATATATATACAAGTGTGCTTAATACAATTGAGTGATGGATTGCTATAAGATTTGCAAGAGCCCCCAATAAAATAATTAATAAAAAGAAATAAATTGATTTTAAAAAAGAAAATTCACCCTTACATTTCTTCAAAGAGTTACTTAATTAGCTCTTTGATTCATTTGGTATTATGTAAGGCAGAGATCCAGCTTCGTTCTTTTGCATGTTACAATCCAGCTGTCAAGAGCATTGGTTGAGAAAACCGTTCTTTGTCCATTGAAAAATCTTGGCATCCTTGTTGGAAATCAGTTGATCGTAATTCGTTGTTGTTGTTGTTAGTTAGTTCAGACCCACAGCGACCCTGTGTACAACAGCGTAACAGTCAGTTCAGACCCACAGCGACCCTGTGTACAACAGCGTAACAGTCAGTTCAGACCCACAGCGACCCTGTGTACAACAGCGTAACCCCGCCTGGGCCTGTGTCACCCTCACATTTGTCCTGATGCTTGAGGCCATTGTTGCAGCCACTGCGTCAGTCTCCTTGAGAGCCTTCCTCCTCTTCACTGCCCCTCTACTTTGGCAAGCATGATGCCCATCTCCAGGGACTGATCTCTCCTGACAACATGTCTAAAGTATGTAGCACAAAGTCTCACCATCCTTGCTTCTTAGGCAGACTCTGGCCATACTTCTTCCAAGACAGGTTTGTTTGTCCTTTTAGCAGTCCATGGTACGTTTAATATTCCTTACCAGCACAATTCAAACATATCAATCAAACATATTCCTTACCAGCACAATTCAAACATATCAGTTCTTCTTTGGGTCTTTCCTATTCAATGTCCAACTTTCACATGCATGTGAGGCAACTGGAAATACCCTGGCTTAGGTTAGGTGCACCTTAGTCTTCAAAGGAACATTCTTGCTTTTCACTGAAGAGGTCTTGTGCAGCAGATGTACCCAGTGCCTCACCTTGTTTAATCTCTTGACTGCTGCTTCCATGAACATTGATTTTGGATCCAAGCAAGACAAAATCCTTGACAACTTCAATCTTTTATCCATTTATACTGATGCCGCTTAATACATATACAGGTTCCGAATGAACACAATGAAAGGTTCTGTAATTCCCATTCTTTTCAAGGCTATCGATAATTTATGATCCACACAGTCAAATTCCTTTGCACAGTCAATAAAACACAAGTAAACATCTTTCTGGTAAACTCTGCTTTCAGCTCAGAACCATCTGACATCAGCAGTGATATACCTAGTTCCACGTCCTCTTCAGAATCTGGCCCGAACCTTGGGAAGCTGCCCGTCAAGGTACTTCTGCAACTGCTGTTGGGTGATCTGGAGCGAAATTTTACTTGCACGTGATATAATGCCATCGTTCTATAATTTGAGTGTTCTGTTGGGTCACCTTTCTTTGGAACGGGTACAAATATGGCTCTTTTTCAGTCAGTTGGCCAAGTAATGGTCTTCCAAACTTCCTGGCATGGACGAGCAAGTGGCTCTAGTCCTTCATCATCTTGTTGGAACATTTTAATTGGGATTTTGTCAATTTCTGGAACCTTATATTTGGCCAGTGCTTTCAATGCATCTTGGACCTCTTTAGCACCATTGGTTTTTGCTCATGTGCTACTTTCCTGAAATGGTAGAATGTCAACTAGTTCTTTTTGGTACAGTGACTGTGTATTCTTTTAATCTTTTTTTTTTTTTATGTTTCCTGCATTATTCAATATTTTTCCCACACTGTTTTTCAAATTGCAACTCAAGGCTGGAATATTTCCTTGAACTTTTTCCGTTCAATAAGCACTGAGCATCTTCTCCCTTTTTGGTTATATAACTCTCGGTCTTTGCACATTTCACTGTTTTATTTGACTGTGTGTTCTCGAGTTGCTCTGACCTTAGCTACTCTACAGTTAAGAGCAAGTTTCAGAGTCTCTTCTCGCATCCACTTTGATGTTTTTTTTTCTTTTGTTCTTAATGACTTTTTGCTTTCTTCATAAATGAAGCTCTTGATGTCCTTGTCTGGTCTTCTGTCATGCATGGTCAGTGCATCACGTCCATTCTTGAGATGTTCTCAAAATTCAGGTGGGATAGACTCAAGGTCGTATTTTCGATCTGGTGGCCTTGTTTGAAGTTTCTTCAGCTTCGATTTGAACTTACATAGGAGCAATTGGGGCTCTGTTCCGCAGTCAGCCACTGGCCTGGTTTTAGCTGCTGATGCTGGGCTTCTCCATCATCTCTTATTGCAGATGTAGACGATTTAGCTTCTTTTGTTTCTCCATATGTTTGAAAGAACTTGTACGTTGGAAAGGCTCCAGTTCACTTCAGTTTTACTTTTCTGCCTTTTGCAGCTGCTCAAGACCAGTATTTAGATCTGAGGGTAAAGAGTCTGGAGGGCTTTTTTTATCCCTCATAGACCAATTTTATTTATTTTTCCTGTTAAAATCTCCAGATTTTGCTCCCCCATCCCTCCCTTTCCCCGTCCCACCCCATCCCTGGCCCCCTCATAATCTTCAAAGTCTTGTCTATTGGTGTGTAAACCATGTTTCCTCCTCTTGTTTTCCCTTTAAAACAAGTGGTGACAGTCAGTGTTTATCTT